TGTGATTTGTCTGGCGTATCCCTTGCTGTGTCACGACCGTGTTCGTGTCGTGAACTTTTCACAGTAATACGAAAACTGCACTATTCCCAAGATGTCGCGACGACGTAAGGTGCAATCAAAAATTGTTGAAGATGTGCATTCTTAACTTTACTGTTGGTATTTGTGGATATTTTGATACTAAAATGAGACTACTAGGCCTAGATTTGAATAAATGTATCTGTAATAACCATGGAATRTCTTAAAATGCATTGTGCACGGCGCAGATCATTCCGCAAATTGTCTTTGTTAACATCAATCTCGTACTCAGAGCCTGCGTTTCTTCTGGCCTGCGGCGAAGAACGAGGGCTCTGACATAATCCAAGTTTTGAGACCAGGATTTCTTGGACTTCCGGTATAAGAGCGCATTCGTTCAAAGACTTGCCAAAATTGAAAAAATATATCCCCATTTTTAATTTTTATTTTGATCAGAATTAAACGCAGAACTCTGCTTGAAAGCATGATTTTCATTGATTGTGTTTCACTTCCGGAAAATTGTTCATACGCCAAAAAATGGATTATGCCAGATCCCTCGTCCATCGCCGCAGGACAGAAGAAACGCAGGCTCTGTGTACGAGATGCCAAAAAATATCAACAGCRACACGAGTGAAAAACCTCTGCGCATGCCCTGAATCCGTATGCAAATTAGTCAAAACATATGAAATTTGACTTTCAAACATGCCTGATAAATTGGACGTCACAAAATACCAAAACTTAGTGTCCATGCTTGAAGCTTAAGACTAATTCTTTCATATTGTGTTTGTTAATACAGTATCTTGGTCTGACAAAAGTATGCTCTCGAACTTTTTTGTATACTCGAAGAAAACAAACATTTATTTTTTCACTCAAACTCTTCAAAATTCCTAGAAAACATGCTGAAGAGCACGCATGCGCAAATGTTTTTCTCTAGTGCCATCAACAGCACGAGTATTCAATAAATGACCAATTAGATAACATCTCGTTTTTATTCGTATTTATTATTTATTCATCATTTTTTTCCCCTTTTTTTTGGATTTTTTCAATCCAGTTCCTTCGATGTTACTTTGTGTGATCCAAACCTGAATAGCTCAGACCTAAAGATTTAGTACCCAAACCCTTCAGATACATCCACACCAAAATTGGTCGAGGGAACTTGGAGGGGCATTTTATATTTTATCCGAGCCGTTTAAATTTATCGTTACACGTAAACTTTTTCCTTTTAGTTGCTGCCGGCAGGAACAGCATTTCTAAACTAGTTAGGGAGATTCCGGCGTCCGTACTTGTCCTCGTCGTCAGTAGTCGTTAAAGTTGTTTGGAAGGATCACCAATGTGTCGCTCTCATCATCAAGAGCCTGCAAAAAAACAAAAACAAAACACAATCATACATAAGGGAATAAAATAGTCGTCTTTCGATGCATACCGCTGTTGTTAGAAACGAAAACACGTTTAGCCTCGTTTATACAGACACCATTACTAATCGATAACGTTTCTAACCATTGTTAATGTTCAAGCTGCATGAAGTTGACATTAATTAAGCTAATTATTTTTTATAAAACTGGGTAGTCTTGTATAATTACCATTTGTTCGGGTTCATCTCCGCGTCGCATGCAGTACCCGAAACAGCGTCTTATGCATCTTCTCCGACACTGGGGATGTTTAGGGCACTTTTTTCTGCAATGCCCTAAGCATTTTCGCTGGCATTGGCCGCCCTCTGCTTGGTCCACCATGATCACAGCCATCAGCACGATACACAGCAGTACAAACACTTTAAGATTCATCCTTGATCAGCTTCTTCTAAATAAGAAAAGGAAAGCGAATGATTGGCGATGATTCTAGGATAAAGACATATGTGAATAGCTGTGCCCTTACTTAGTAGAACAGCTTAGAGGATGGTTTCAGTATTTGATCTGTGAAGTAGTTTCAAGGTGCAATCCGTGAGTTAGCTATGCCCTGACTTTCGGATCAGCCCAGAGGTTGTTTCAGGGTTCAATCTGGGAGTTAGCCATGCCCTGACTTTGATCAGCCCAGAGGTTGTTTCAAGGTTCAATCCGTGAGTTAGCCGTGCCCTGACTTTGATCAGCCCAGAGTTTGTTTCAAGGTTCAATCCGTGAGTTAGCATTGCCATAAATATTGAAAAGAATCTTACTTAGGATTGCTTGGATATTTCTCTTCTTCTGTTGCTTACTTTCCTCGAACGAGAGACTGAAAGCATAGATTGAACTCCAAGTCAAATTTGGTTGCACCTCAAAAATAAACCTTAATTGCTTAACTCTAGGTACTGACTTTTTTAAAACTATTTTCAAAAGGAAACCTCGTTAGTGATAGAGATGTCGCCTTTTAAATGGTTGACATATTGTTCTAGTCTTTGGTGTATAACCACAGTGCCCCAATGACAATAGGTATGGTTTTTGTTTCCATACCCCACATTTTTTAATTTCTATTTTTAAATCTTTGTAGTTTGAGAGTTTTTCTATTTGTTTTAGGGGCACATTTCGAGTTCTGCTGGGATTTACACGTTCGCTATCAAGGAACATCGTTTCTCTACTTTATTCTTGACTATAATTAGGATGACGTCTGCAGACGTCTGTGGTACGAAAAAAAATTCCTTTCTTTCTTCTCAGTTGTCAACATAAATAAATCATAAAGAATCAAGATGTTAGGAGTCCCTTCTTTGTTAAACAAAATGGATCTGTAGATCAATCTTCAATCATCAATGTTGTCGTTCACAAATCGTTTAAAATATTTTTTGAAAAATCTTTTTTTTTTCATGACGCGCCAAAGTAACTTGGTAATAACAAATTTTCTGCCAACATTTAGTTATTTTTAAGATAATAAAATTTCATAGATTTAAAGCCAAGACAATGCTAAAAACAGCTTTTTGAACAAGAAGCCCACACACATATTTGCAAAGGCACGCGAGGCCCTCGAAGTTGGAGGGTATTTTGGCTCTCTCAGAGGGCCATTTATTGACAATTTTGTTTTTCTCATTTTTCTCGGAAATAAAGCAATATTTCGAAAAACGAAGCATACCACGATTTGTGTTGACTATATGTTTACCTTATACTTGAATATGAGCGAAATTGATTTTTTCGGCTGTTGCCGCCAAATTTCGATTTTGTTTGATTTTTGCTGAAATCTTCTCTTAATCTTATTACTATTCTCTTTCTTTTTGCTTTATTTTTTACTCCAAAATTATTTTAAACTAATAATACTATTATTTTTCCCTAGGTGAGCTTGTTAGTTCTTGGAGAGAGAACAATGACAAATTGGTCAAATTAAAAAAAGTTACTCATCCGTTAAAATAATTATATGTTACATAAGACTATAAGATGATTAATGATTAACAAAACTAGAAGATCCAACTCAATGATTCAACTCTACCTGGCCGGACAGTGTAGAGGAACTAGCGATTTTCGTTTCGTAAAAGAAAGACTTACCGTGCGATTAACTTCTTTTGTTTTCTCCTTTGTGATCACAAGTCGTAGAACTAACGAGAGATAGTTCCGAATGTCGACCCGCTAGACTATCGAAAGCAATATACTAGACAATGTTATATCGGGATCCAATCACAATAGACTACGTTAGATTAAATAATATATTTAATTTTTTTGGTCTTGCGTGCGGCGCTTATTTGAGAGTGGCTTTTGATCGCCCGCTAGACTATCGAAAACAACATGCTAGACAATGTTAGGGACTGTGCAATAATTATCGGGAAGTGAGGGGGGTTCTAAAATTCTCCAAATTGGGCTTAAATTAAAGCTAAACACCCCCTGTGCCAAACGTAAAAAAACTTCTCACCCCTTCCCCTTTTGAAATGAAATAACTATCAACCCTCCCGCATACATCGTCAACAACGCCAATCGAAAAAAAAGGACGCACACATTCCTCTACTTGCCTTCATATATTTACTTGTCCTATATCCCAATCTGCTACAAACAAAACCTGAAAGCTTTCATTAATTCGACTTCAAAATCACTCGAGCTATCATCAGCGGACGTAATTTCATCATCTTCTTCCTCGAGCTCTTCAGTTTCAAGTGTTCTAGATCCTCTAGCATGCGAAAGTAGACGTTCAACTAATTGTGCTTCGTCCCCAGATACTTTTTGACCTATTTGTTTGAGATACAGTTGCAGTTGCTTATTGGTAAGTTTTTCGACGTCTTCTTTGTTCTCCCAACATATGTCTGGTATACAGTTTCTTTCGCTTTTTCGTTTTTCTGACTTTAATTAAAGTAAGAAATTCAAGGTGCTGAACATATTCTATACATGTGCTKTCGACAATGTTTAGCATTGAGCATGCTTGCTATACAGCGTTTTTGTACGAAGAGGACAACTCTCTTTCAAGAACCATCTTCTTCACTTGAACACTAGAAAGCACGCTGTCTATCACCATCGCAGAGGTTGTACTGTTTTTAATATAAAGGATACTCAGTTTATACATTATATTTCAACACATATGGTTTTGAGGTTGCATCTGTGACAAGTTGTGTTCTTTATACAATAAAAAATATAACAATAAATGTTTRTTTTAAATGCATTTATATGCATCTTTTCCATTTTATGGTGAACAAGATCCCAAATTAACTTATGACCCCCCTCTCCATATTTAAGCAATTAGCTTCTAATCCCCCTACCCTATACACTCCAATTTAACTTTTGACCCT